TAGGTACGTAAGTTAGTACGTACCGTAACCCTAACCTTACGTACCTAACTACGCAGATATACACAATATATATATATATATATATATATATATATATATATATATGTATGTTGTGAGTAAGTCATGCAACTTAGTTAGACTTGCTCAACAACAATGTTTAGTACTATGTCATTAAACTAGTGTAGTGGCGTATGACTCTGCCTGTGTCACACACACACTAGTGATCTAAATTACGTTGTCAAGTGATCCTTCCGATCACTCGGTTCTATCAAAACCTGGGCCAATCATCTGTACCCATGACTGCGTAATTTGTGATGACTCCTCGGCTGAGTCCCAAGGCTCAGTCCCTGACAACCCGACTCCCTCTGAGTCCTTCTAAGTCCCTCGAGTTCCAGCCGATGGGTGGCCCTAGACCTGAGACCCCACAGGCCCCAGTCCTCGGGTAACCCTATCTCAATCCCAACCCTGTAGCTAGGGTCAGTCCCATAGTCCTATCACAACCCCCCACTAGGAGAGATAGCATGACCCTTCCTGCTACTATCATAGCTCACTGTGAATGAACCTGAACTGCACTATATACACCGAAACAAAAACAACACGAGAGACGCTTACGTCTCCACTACCTCGTGGAGGATGGAGTTATTCGCCCTTCACCTCAACAGTATGAGGATTTTACCCTTAACTAGCAGGCACTAAAACTTTCGACGCGACGGGAGCTCTGAACCATCTTCAGCGATCTGCAGCTCTCCCCAATCCCTTAAGCGCTGACGTCTATAGGTTGCTGACTGTGCTAAAGCAACCCCATTCAACATTTGCCTTGTGAACGCGTCTCGTTACTTTTTAACTGGCAACACCCGCTTTATCAAGGTCTGGTATTCCTGGTCTAAGACCATCTTCCCACCACCACCTCGTACCAACGGCGCATAAAACGGTAAGAGTGCCTCATCACACCACAACTCCCAGCGTCCCCACACTGAGCTAAGTGCATTAGACCAAGTAGGCGCCTTCTTCGTACGATGCAAACAGTGTCCAAACGACTGTCTATACCCCTCTGACTGCTCCGTCAACTGAGAAGAATACATTCACCAGTCTTCAAACGGTCCATGCGGTCGATAACGCATCACAGAGCGTTGTTCTTCTTGCTCTGTAAGTTTCTCCACATGTGGCTTCAATTCAGCCCGCAGGAAATTTCTTTGAGATCCATCCGGCATCTCAACCACGTGCATGAGAGGTGCCTGCACAGACAACACCCTCACAGGTCCACCCCAACGTGAGGACAAGTCATGCGACTTGCCACGCAGACGGTACCATACCCGTGAACCAACAGGCAACAGCGGGACATCCTCTCGTCCGATATTGGCCCTTGACTGCTGCTCCAACTGAGCTCGTCGATCTCGCACAGCCGCCACCGCATCACGAACCACAGCCTCTGTGTCTCGTTCTGTTTCCATGAGTGTCAATACCCGATCCTGCAACTCCAAACTCTTTTGGCCGTTGAAGTATCGACCCGTCATATAAAAATCCGGGGAGAATCCTGTCACCTAATTACGCGTGGCATTGTATACGCGCACCATATCATATATCAGATGCAACCACGCATGTGGAAAATCACCCGACGCCTCTATCTCACGCCGCATCCAATCCTTCATAGTTCGGATAAGAGTCTCCGGACGACCATTACTTTGTTTAATTGTCCACTGTTACCCAGTGTGGCGGTGGCAACAAGGTGGAGCGACCTATGGATCTCTTAGTTGTAGACTCCCTCCCTCTCGACACAGATGTTCTGTTGGGTTTTCAGTCGTTAAGGAAGGATAGGTTGGCACTCATGTGGACTAAGCATGACTTTTTGGCAGTTGTGCCGCAGGCGGAGGTGGTGGACTTCCTGATTGCTGAAGAGGGACGTCCGACGTTGCTTGGCCCGCGGGGAAAGCAGGCGAATGCTAGGCGGAGCGATGCCAGTGCTAAGCGCAAGATTGCTGATCCCGTGCCGCAGGATCTGCGGCTGGACACTATTCGTAGTCGCTTGCACCTGCAGGGAGTGCTACGTAATGAATTTAAGGAGCAGGAGCGTCAACATTATGTGGCGTCTATGCAGGTACATTTCATTAAAATGTCGAATGAAGTAGAGTAACTGACGAACGCTGCGGAGCTTGATGATGCCGAAGAATATGTATTACCACGCCTGCATGACCTGTTGGCAGAAGTGAATATGCCAATAGGTGCGACGACTATTTCCGAAGGCTTATTTAGATTTTGATCAGTCGCAACTCCGCAAGCTTTATAAGAAGTGTGGCTTACCAAAGAAGGAGCTGGGTGATATGATTGCTGCTATCCAGTCTGTTGCATACAATACGGCTGCACCCACATTTATGGTCTATGATGATATCCGCTTTAAGAATGGAGTGGAGTTTTAACTGAAAGGTGCTCAACCTTCGTTTTAGGGGGTTTTTTAGATCCGACTTTCACGTCAAAGAAGGTGAATTTGGTGCTGGGTACGAAAGTAGGCGACTGGGATCATGGGGGTTGTTACCCGGGAGATATCGGAAGCGGAAGCCAGATGTTACTGTACTATGCCTCATTTAGTCTTTAAAACTCCGGGGGAGGTACCACTGTCAGTGCATATTGGCGGTGCTGCATCACCTATAAGAAGTTGAATGGTACACTCGAGTGTGAAGAGTATCCGGTACCTACGGAGCAGGAGTTCTCATCGGCGGTTCGGGGGAAGAAATGCCAAACCATGGTTGACTTAGGACAAGGGTTTTGTCAGCAGAAGGTGGCTGAGGGCTCTCAGCACATGCCGTGGGGCAAGCGCACGTTTGTGGGCATGCCCTTTGGTATTAAGCCAGCGTCATAGATTATGCAAGCTCGTATGGAGCATGCCTTTCAGAGTGTGGACGGTCTTAAAATATGGGTGTAGGTCACAACAATGCGCGTGAGCATTGGAAGAGTATTAAGACTTTGATTGCGGCATGCATCAAGCATAATGCCAAGTTGAACTTGAAGAAGTGTTGATTTGGGTTCTCGGATCGCCCAATGTTGGCCTTAGGTCGTGTGGTGGATGAGAAAGGATCCTACATTAGTGAGGATCGTATGGAGTCCATCCTTCGTATGCCGCCGCCTACTGACAAGGATCTTCTGGTTTCTGGTACCATACGATTGGTTATTGGAGTCAGTACATACCCAACTACTCCAGGATCATGGCACCCATCTCGAACCTCAGCATGAAGGACGTACCTTTTGTCTGTGGTCGTACGCAGCAGGAGGAGTATGATCATATTCGAGAAGAGGTGGCCACGAGAGGGGTGCTAGTGGAGCCAGGCTTTGACGACAAACTGGGGTTATACTGTGACGCCTGTGATTCTGTAGTAGTAGGTGGGGGGTTGTTTGCCCATCGTGAGAGCAAGCTGTGCCCCGTAGATTTTCGATCTTCTAAGTTTAGTCCGGCACAGCTGGGTTACCACAATACTGACAAGGAGGCGGTGGCGATAGTCTATTGTTTGCATAAGGTGTGAAAGATAGTGAAGCGATCGCGTCACCCTTTGACGGTGTTTACAGATCACGAGCCTTTGGTACGAATGCTTACACAGGACCCGACATCGTACGAGTCGTCAGTGAGGGGCCGGAGGATGGCGCTATATGCGCAGGTGTTGAGAGACTTCGACATTGTCTTGAAGCATCTCTGAACCAAGCTGCGGATGTGCAGTCTAGGCTGGGGTATCATATTGGTCCCATCATGCAGGCTAGGCGGTTGCCAGCAGAGGACAGGGTTAGGTGGACTGACCCGGTGGTAGTTAAGCCAGAGACGGAGTTTTATGCGGTGAACGAGGCTTTGTTCAACAAGATTGGTGATTTGACGCTGAAGGGTTTGCCCACCCTACTAACTATCGCATGAAGCCGTAGTACCAACCGACGCTGGCAGGATGTATGTTTGCCTTAAGGACCTGGGCGGGCCCGCGATGGTACTTCAACCCGAAGTGGTCGGATTTGGGTGAGGTAGTGACGCGGATAAAACGGGACAAAGCTACGATGACGATGGTTTGACCGTATGCTTCGGAAGTAAGGTGGTTCAAGGAGATGGTACCATTGCTCTCAGCAGATCCGATGGTGATCTATCCCAGGAAAGGGATCTTCCTGCGGCATGGGCATGAACCGATGGATGCAGCAGGTTTTATCACTGTAAGTTTCGGTCTATCAAGGCGATATTAACGCCTTAGAGTAATTAAACGCTTAGGTTAAGTCTAAGTATTGTTAATTTCGAAATAAATAAACGAAATGAGTCTTGTAGTAAAGTTAGGTATGCCTCGTGAAAACAGCAATACTCTGAGGGATTGTGAAGCTGAGACATTGCCTATATATAATCCTCTCAGTACTGTTTTCGCCGAAGGGATTTTATTTAGTGTTTCGTTGTCGCTTTATTAGAAATTATGGTATGTTTCGTTGGGGCGAATCCGAGAGAATCTAAAATCCTATCTTCAGAAGAAGAAGAAAAATACTCTTGATGTCCATAGTTATTGCATAAACCAATAACTTGCCACATATCAAGAATTACCGACTTAGCCTTCATCAGACTGGCACATCTGGTTGGCTGAACGGAGGTTAAACTAGGTAACGCTAATAGTCCCTAGATACCTATATTCGGTTGAGCCATCTCGCTACCATTGTATGTTGAACTAGACCAAATCTTATGTTTATTTTCCCGGGGCCTTTTAATGGCCTTGTCCAAATATCTGATATGTAAAATGGAAAAGGTATTAATTAATAAAACCGTTAAAAACCATTTAGGAAACTTAAGTTCCTCGTACTATTAAGAGTACGTTTATAGTTTACGTACTGCTTAAGAGTACGTTTATAACATAAAGTCTAATGTGGAGGCCCGGCTATTACATCACGTTGGTGTGTCACATGAGCCCGTCGTACAGGGAGCATAACCTCCGCAAAGATTTCTGGGAGGAACTAGAGTCCAAGCGGCCAACTTGAGAGAAGTTAGCAACAACGGCGGTTTCACGTGAAAAAGACGTGGTGTCCTGCAAGACACAGAATTATAACATAGAGTCTAATGTGGAGGCCCGGCTATTACATCACGTTGGTGTGTCACATGAGCCCGTCGTACAGGAAGCATAACCTCCGCAAAGATTTCTGGGAGGAACTAGAGTCCAAGCGGCCAACTTGAGAGAAGTTGGCAACAACGGCGGTTTCACGTGAAAAAGACGTGGTGTCCTGCAAGACACAGAATGGGGTCATCGGGGCTGTAGCGCACCCCAGTGGGACGGCGGTGCACAGGGATATGTCTGCAGAAGAAGCAGGCATTGAGACTACCGCAGTCAGTGCAGATAGGGCACTGGCATTCTCCACTCAGCCTTGGCGAGCAGCCAAGGAGGCACTAGGTGAGTCTTTGCGGCAAGCGGAGGCAAGGCTAGGTGGTGCTGCCACTGGCCCAAGTGGGGGGTCACTAGGGGCCATGGCGGCAACGTGGCTAGGCAAGACCGACAGGAGCACAAGTGGGGGGTCGCTTGGTACGATGTACACTAGGAGTATGAGTGCAGTCTCCAGTGTTGACGCGGAGTGAACGTCGGAAGGCTGAGGTAGTGGGCACGCAGTTGCAAGACGACGCCATGGACATGGATTCACCACTTGCGTCAGGTTTAGATGCAGTTGGGGAGCA